AATAATTCAAACGTTGGTCAAAGTTGGTCAAAGTTGGTCAGAATGGAACTGATATTTGCTTAAAATTCAAGGTAAAACTCGGAAAAATTTGGTAAAAGTTTGGGATATAAGATGGTCGGTAAAGCTTCAGTTACGTTTGCGGTGAAAAAATCGGGAGCGTTGCTTATATTGGTCTTCCAGTAAAAATTTTAACCACTTGGTCAAAATCCTAGGAAAAGTTGGTCAAAACAAGACGACACCCCCCAATGTTGATGTCTTTGCGACGTCCCTGACTTGTATTGTATTCTAGTCGGGGATGCCGGAACCACGGGTGCAGCGGGTGCAGTTGCACCCGTTGCCTTTTGTCTTCACAACTTTACGGGTGCACTACGGGTGCAGAATACGGGTGCAGAATACGGGTGCAGAATACGGGTGCAGAATACGGGTGCAGAATACGGGTGCAGAATACGGGTGCAGAATACGGGTGCAGAATACGGGTGCAGAATACGGGTGCAACGGGTGCACAAAGTGCCGTTTTTGCGTGAAAAATTTTCATTAAAAATTGCATTTTTTGCGCAAAGGGAATTTTTGAAAAATTCAATCTATGTTATTTCCGGAAAAATGTTTTAATTTCCGGAAAAAATAACAATTTCCGGAAAAATTTTCGGTAAGTCCGGAAAGTTTTTCTTCGTATTTAGGAAAAATTGTGGTATGTCCGGAAAATTTTTTTTACCCCTAAAATGGTACACTGACCAAAAAATTTGGTACACTGACCAATGGTACACTGACCAAAAAACTAAGGAATATGCCCTCTTGTTAACCAATTGCACCCCTTGCCCCCAGCAACTTCAGGCATCCCTGATTCTAGTGTACTCAAAATGTATTCTATGTCGTTACCATGTCTCTGAATATTTGGTTATCCGTTGACTACATCTAAGGGCCTGTTCATATGGGCAAAAGTTATCCCGGTTAACGAGAGAACTTTTCGACTAGCCAAATACTTTCACCTTTCTTCCGTTCATATGGAGAAATATTATCCCACTTACCGGGAAAAGTTTCCGGCTGTGACGTAGCACTGAACATCAATTGAATTGAAAAGTTGCTGACACGACAGAAAGTTATCCCGCTAAGCGGGAAAGTTGTGTTCATATGGGGAAAACATTATCCCGGTCACCGAAATCTCGCCTATCAACAAGCAAGATCTCTGTACACGGGAAAACATTTCGTCTCATATGAACGCAATGTAACTTTTCATATTATTTTCGTAACAAGGTGAGATCTCGCTCGTAAACTTGTCGAAAAGT